TAGGGCCTAGGGTTTAGGGTTTAGCAGTTCTGATTGTTGTCTGGATGGCCGGCGACACGCGGGGGAATGCCGCCCGATCGAATCTTGGAAAAGCGTTGTTGCCTTTCTCGGGTCCTGACATTTCAGGCTTCAGTCAGCTGCGGTTCAGCCTCAACGTTTAGATCGCCGAGTGTCCATGGGGTTTCAGGGCTTGTTGGTTGATTGCCGAAACCTCAGATCAATGCAAGACACCAAGCCTCAACCCTCAGCCCTAAGCCCTCANNNNTAAAAGGGACCCCAAGTTAGAGAACCACCAAAGGCGGACCCCAAACCCCAAAAACCCGCCCTCCGGGCCGTGCCCCACAAGGTACGTAGAGGCTTCAAGGATCGAACTTGGAGGACGTCAAACCCTCAAACTTCGACCCCCAAGCCGAAGAAAACCCATACCCTAACTTCCTGAACCCGGAACCCCGTAGTGAACGCCTGGAAAAATCCCTTCAACGACACCCCTTTTAAGGGAACCTCATCGTTCAGCTTGTCCCAGAAGGTCATGCCCGTGCCGTGGTCGGTAATCCTGTCATGTCCGAAGAGCCCTATCCAGAGGATCCCGGCTCGTTATGGGGTTCCTTTGGGGCCCCTAAACCCTAAACCCNNGGTTTTAGGGCTTAGGGTGTAGGATTTAGGGCTTAGGGTCTAGGGGTTCACAGCATCCCCAAACCCCCAGGACAGGCCTCTTCTGCTACCCCTAACCACCCGCCCCCCCCAGGCTTTAAAGTTTGGGATTGTCTGGCTTGGAAATTAGAATGCTTGACTGCGGCTTGAAATTCATATTTATGCAACGTGATATCAGTAGAACGAAATTAACATATTACAGTACAGTGTAAAAACCCAAAGAAGCCTTCCACCTCGACCCTGACCATTCACCACGGGTCCTGTCGTACTCGCGATTGCCGGCACCGATCCAACTGTTGTAGTCGCCCTCGGTAATGGCAGACTTGACCCATGAAACGAAGAACCCTAAACTTTAAAACCCTGAACCCTAAAACCCGATGAGTGTCAACAAGAAGGCTCTGAGTTCGGCGCAGATAGCACTGCACTACATAGGAGAGAGCCTAAAAAACTAAGACTCTTGAGTCACCTGTCATCTTGTTGGGGGCCCCAAAAACGGCCCGACAGGCTCCATTCCGCCCTGAGAACTGGCTGTGCATTCCCTAGCCATTCTCCGCCCCCCTAAACCCCGAAAACCCTAAACCGTGGGAAGCCCCATACCTCACAAAATTCTCAAGCCAGCGTGCCGATATCTGCTCGAGCTCGTCGAGATCGATCTCGCCAGCGTTTTCCTCGATCTCTTTCTGTCTCTCACCGCCTCTCTCCTCGTCTCACTCTCTGGTTCAAGATTTAAGGCCCCTAGGCCCGTTTACTGTCTCTCCCCACCTCTCTGAATGACCATTGTCCGGCTAATAGCCCGCTGTGGTGTAGGATTTTGCCTGGTTCCACCTGCGCACAAAACCCCCACCACCTGGCAGCCACAAAGCAGGATCTTCAACTTGAAACGCACCCCATTCATCTCTGAAGCCGCCAACCTCCAATGAACTGCGCACACCTGAAGCAACGTCGCAGCCCCAATGCCATGAAGCCCGAAAACGCTAAACCCCCCCGCCCCCCCCCCAAAGCCTTCGAACCCTAGAACCCAAACACTTTCAATTTCACCACAGCCCTCTGAACCCAGAGCCCCAGATCCCCTGCAAGCCGAAACCCCAAATCTTGTGTACCCCCCACCCCCCGATGGAATCTCCTAAACCCTCACAACAACACCAAACCCTAAACCCGTAAGAAGCACTCCAAAAGCGTCAAAGCCACAAAGTTGTAGGTGCAATCGGCGGTGCCCGACGGCTCCTCACAGAAGCCTCGGGCTACAAAGCCGTTTAAGGTTTAGGGCTCCGGGTCTAGGAGGCTTAGGGTTTCGGGTTTTGGGGTGTAGGGCTTTGGGGTTTCGGACTGTTGGGGTTTAGGGCTTGGTCATATATTTAGGTTTATGATTGCTTTTCGATATCATGGTGCTCTGAGGGGTCTATAAGGTTGTATCGGGGCGTTCTGTTGTAGCTTCTTGGGTGGCCAAAGAGGGTTACTGCTTACAGGTTGCTATGGGAGTGTTACATGAAGCATCAGGTTCACGGCTTCGGTTCAGACTTTGGGCTTTTAAGGTAAAGAATAAGGTGTCAGGGCTCAAGTTTTGCATTTCATGGTTGAGACCTCAAGTCGTACCGCTTGCAGACAAGAGTTCGGGATTTCGGCAAAGCATCAGCGTTCAGAGTGGAAGGGGTGTACAGTTGCCTAAACACTCATCTGCACCTTATGCCGAAACACGCTGTGTCCAAAACACCTCTGATGTCAGACTGTTTCGAAGCCGCTCTGCTCAGTTGTGTGCTCCCTGTTGGGTTCCTCTTAGTTTCAGGAGTCGCCAACCAGACCTATAGGATCTATCGAACCTCCGAAAGACTCTGAAATGGAGGGCGGTCGGCACCTAGACCTAGCAATCTCAACGCTACAAGCCACAGCAGCAGCAGACTCAAAAACACACTCCACCCTGAGGGCACTGAGCAAGAATAAACTCGCGACACCCCGGCCCTGAAACCTAGACGTAAAAACCCTAAACCCAAGCAAGCCTTAAACCCCGGACCTGAATCGAGCCTTGCAAGCCTGAGTCATTAAAACCCTCAACTCAACAAAACTTCGAAGCCCAAATCTAAGCAAGACCCTAAACCCTAAACCCTAAACCCTAAACCCTAGCCCTAAACCCTAAACCCTAAACCCTAAGAAGCCCTAAACCTAAGCCTCATAGCCCGAATTTAGGGAAGCCTGAATTCTCAGACTCAGACCAAGGTCTTCTTGGCTTATACTTAAGCGTATCAGGGCTTAGGGTTTAGGGGTTTAGGGGTTTTGGGTTTAGGGGTTAGGGTTTAGGGGTTTAGGGGTTTAGGGTTTAGGGAGTCTAGGGTTTTGGGTTTAGGGCTTGGGTTTTAGGATTTTGGGTTATCAGGGTACCGTTCAGGAATACTATTCCTACTGCGAAGCGGTAGGACCCCTGAATCCTAAACCTCAAGAGCTCGCTCTATAGACAGGCGTTCAGGTTTAGGGTTTAGGGTTTAGGGTTTAGGGGTAAGGGGTAAGCCCCCCCCCACCTAAAAAGATCCAAGAGGCTTAAATTGTGGCTAAACCCCAAACCCCGAACCTCTAAAACGCTCAGACCCTGAAACCCTAAACCCTGCACACCCCAAAGCCCCTAAGCCCCTTAATAACTTAAAACCCCTAAACCCTAAGCCCTAAGCCCTATACCCTCAGACCCTAAAGCCAAGCCCCTAAACCCCTAAACCCCTAAACCCGAAGCCCTAAGCCCTATACCCTCAGACCCTAATGCCAAGCCCCCAAAGCCCCTTAAAACCCCTAAACCCTAAGCCCTAAAAGCCCCTAAGACCCCGAGACTGTGAGCTCCCTTATGACCAGAAGAACTTTCTAACTAGGTTCGTGTTAGGGGATTTTGTTTAGGTTACCAGAATAAAGAAACCGTATTATTTACTGTAGATCCCCACTGTGGTAACTTCATACAAAAAATCCCCTAACAAGAGCCCAGCCTAAGCCCCCAAATAGACTCTAAAGGCCCTTAGACCCTAACTAAGGCCTTCGGACAACTCCTAAACTAAAGCCCCCAAAACTCTGAAGACCCTAAGAGTTTAGGGTTTAGGGCTTAGGGCTTAGGGTTTAGAGTTTAAGGTTTAGGGTTTAGGGATTGGGAAAACTCTGAGCCCCCTGAGGAAACCCGGAAGGCCCCTTCAGAGGGCCTCCGGGCTGATGCGACAGGCAATCCAGGCCACGGCTGCCCTTGGAAGAGTTGGTCTTCTCCTGACTTCGATGGCGTTCTGTTGGGTGTTTTGCTTTGGGGGTTCCGGGCGTAAGGGGGTTTAGGGTTTAGGGCTTAAGGGCTTTAAGGGCTTTGTTGGGTTGTGTTTTCGGGGGGTTCGGTGCTTAAGGGGGTTTAGGGTTTAGGGCGTTAGGGCTTTAAGGGCTTAAGGGCTTAGCCCTAAACCTTAAACCCCAAGCTGAGGGTTCAGGCTTGAGGGCTCCGGTTCTTAGAGGTTTGGGGCTTATGGCTTTCAGAGGTGAAGAGCTGATTTTGTTCAGGGCTTTGGGAGTTCAGGGTTTAAGGGTTTACGGGTTTAAGGGAGTCTTTGGAAGTCTTTGGGGAGCCGGGGTTTTGGTTTTGAAATTTCTGGGCTGCAGTGCTTTAAGAACTATGCGCAGACCAATCGAAACGCCTTGACTAAGGAACAAATTGCAGTAAGGATCTAAAATGTATGGTAGATTGATTGCTCGACTGAGGTGTTGTAGAATCTCTGGGTGGTTTAGAACCGGAATGCTCAGCATTCTTGGGACTAGTCTCCTTTTCCAGCTGAATTGGTCCGGAGAGTTTTCAGGCAAGGCTGGACGGCTAGGGATTGTCGGGACCTTTTTGTGCCAGCGGCAGCCGGCGGTTTGAAGGGTTTTTTGCAGCCTTGGCCTCGACTCGGCACTGCGGTTTCTTGAAACAGAGTCGGAAGAGAGGCGGGGAAATTCCCACGTCGATCGTCTTTTCAAGCCCGGCCCATTCAACGAAGTACGTACCTGTTGTGACATTCGGGAACTTGTTCTTCACATCTGCTGGCTTTCCATTTTACGCAACATTCCACCCGAGACGACAGACCTACTTGCGACGCATCAAGCCGGGTAGTGTAAACAGACCACATCAGCTTTCCGGTTGCGGCTGCTTCGTGTAGAACATAAGACAAACAACCTCTTCGAGAACCCCAACTTCCGAAGCCCCTCACCGCAGCGGGACGAACATACCGAAGCCACCACCCCGAACCATCTCAACGCCAACAGCCAGGCAAGCGGCAAAATATTGCATCTGCGGGCACTTGCCAGGAAGGCTGTACCTTGGAGGTTGCTCGCCGTCTCTAGAAGCGAATAGTAATCTCCCACACGTGGCGTATTCCAGGCACCATCTACGTCAGGATGACTCTGGTTCGCAGTCTTTGAGACCAAGGCTTCAGGGTGACCTCGTGGCCACACTTGCAAACCTGTGCCTTTTCCTTCTTGAGTCTAGCGCGCGGATGTCACACGCTACACCCACCACCGCCGCCACCCACCACAAGCATGTCACTTGTATTCGACATCATCATCGCAATCATTGTCCGCATAACCACCATCGCTACCATCGCCCTTCGCACCGCCATTGAGCAGTATCATGACCGCTTATCGTGCTATCGTCATCAAAACGCTGGACTGAAACTCATGCTGGCCACGATAGCGATGACAATGATGCGGATCATGATGGGAGGAAGAGAAAGAGGAGGAGTAGTGCACTGATGATGACAACTTCACCTTGATGATGATGATGATGATGATGATGACGGTGGTGGTGATGATGATGATGATGATGATGGCCATGGCGCCACGTCCCATCATAGGCCACTTTGAAGTCCGGGAAAGGGAAGCCTTGCTGCAGCTTGTTGCAGCCCACGAAGTAGCCTGAAGGTGCAACTGCAGGCTCTTGGGGGCTTCAGATTCTGGGTTTGGGGTCTGCGACTTCAGGTATTTTACTGGGCGGAGCCTGTGGGCTTAGGGTGGGACGGTTGCAACGACTACTTTGAAAGCCCGGACGTTCGATACGTACGTTCTTCTGGTGATCCCATGGGCCGCAACCTTCGAGACTAAACTCAGGTTAGCTGGGAATTGCGAAACTGCAGGACTCCCAACACCCCCGAAATCGGAGTGTTCAGGACTTCAGGCTTTGGGCCAAACACTCAGCCCCAGAATCGTTATGCCGAAATATAGAGGCCTCACTGATCATAATTATACTAATTCTACCACCCCCAAAAACCCTATTCTCATTATGAAGGCCCCTACAGTAAGTCCGTGCAGCAGAGCTTCCATAGTTCTGCCACGCCTCATCGCAGCTGAAGGGGCCGGTGCACTGACCTGCCCAGACTCCAAAGCAAGATCACGGGCTCCAGAGTTTAGCGTTTACCTGGAGGCCTAAGGGCTTAAAGCCGACAGGCTTAGGGGTTTCGGGAGTTTTCTAGGATTTCGGGTTTAGGGTTCAGCCGACACGCTTAGGAATTTTGAGGATTTTAGGAATGGAGGAGCCCTGAGCGGCTTGCCGGGCTGATCCAGGCTTTGGTTGGGAGCTCACTGGGATGAGGGGTTTCGGGCTTAAGGGTTTAGGGGTTTAGGGGTTTAGGGGTTTAGGGGTCTAGGGTTTTAGGGGTTTAGGGGTTTAGGGTTTTAGGGGTTTAGGGGTTTAAGGGCTCAG